TTTCTTTCTTTCTTTCTTTCTTTCTTTCTTTCTTTCTTTCTTTCTTTTTCTTTTTCTTTCTACAAAAAGAAATCTGGCATCAATATAACAATGCTCCAGTATAGCATTGTGTCTTTTCCACAGGCTACACTAGCCTGCTGACTGTGCATAATTTATTAGTCCCACGTTGTGCTATGTCCTAGAAATGGAACAGGCACTGAACTATAAAAAAATATGAAATTTCTGCTGTCAAAAGGCTTTCTGCCATCATTTTAAATAACTTCTGTTCTAAATTAAGTTTCCAATCAGATCAATAGTCTACACTGGTGGCCATCATCCAAGAGAGGACAAGAGAATTCAATGGAATATGAATTATTCATGCCAGCTGTTCTTTACCTATTTTTTGTTCATTTCTATCATAGCTTTTTAAAAGAAGAAAATATTTTACAAAAATTACCTGAAATTCTGTATGATCTGATACCATTTGCAAATGGTCAATATAATTAGAATTTTCTAATTAATTTTTCTAATGATTCTTTGAGGAATCATTTAAATTGAAACCCAAAAGGATAAGAAATATTGAATATCGGTGGAGACTGCCTGTTCATTGATTTATATCTCTCACCCTGGCATTATAAACAAACAAAATGGAATATGAATTGTCCATGTTCCCACTTGTATGCTGGATTTTATATTCCCTTGGTCAGCATTTCAATAGTAGAAATTCTTTGCCCCACTACATTAGTTTGGACCAACAAACACCATTGCTTCAACAAAATAGAAAGTTTAATGCATTTTTTTTAAAGTGTAAACAAAGACCAATGCTACTGCAGTTCAGTATAAGAAATAAAATCCCATGGCTTTTCATCCTCTATTTCAATACCGTTTTGGCTGAATGTGTGAAAGAAGATGATGGATGCATTCAAATAGCAGGGGACTGGACTAGAAAACCTCCAAAATCCCCTCCAGATTATTCTATTCTATTCTATTCTATTCTATTCTATTCTATTCTATTCTATTCTATTC